ATGTTAATTAGAAAGTCAAAATATTCCGGACAGGATGATCCACATTTACAGACTACAGTTTCTGATGTCCATGACCCCATCCCTTGGGAGTGGGGAAACTCACAAGTGGCCACACGTAGCAGGGATGGCTGAATTCTGGAAGTGAAGACTGGAGAAAACCCTGGGATCCTGTATCTCAGGTCAGAAGGGCACTGTGACTGCTGTTAGCTTTGCTGTGATACAGCTCACGAAGCTGCATTATTAAAGTGCAGTTTCGTATTCACGGAGGTCTCTAACCCTGGCACCTCTCACCCCTGTGATGTGTGTGTGGGTATGTGTGGGGCTTACTAGCAGTGCAGGTGGATGTTTATGCTTAGGCCAGAGGCTGACGGTGTATGTCTTTCCTTGATTGCTCTCCAGCTTTGTTTTTTGAGAAAAAAGTCTCTCACTGAAGTATATCAATTCAGCTAGGCTGGTTGCCCTTCAGGGATCCACCTTGTACTAGCTATGGGTTTGTTTGTTTGTTTTTGTTTCTTCAAGCTGACAAACAGGAGTTTGGTAAGAGGATACCTCAATGAGTAAATGTTCATGCCAGACTGGCCTGTAGGCAAGGCTGTGGTGTATTTTCTTAACTAGTGACTGATGCGGGAGGGCCCAGCCCATGGTGAATGAAGAACAGGAGGTCCTGGGGTATATAACAAAGCAGACTGAGCAAGCCAGTGAGAGCACTCTTGCATAGTTTATGCATCAGCTCCTGCCTCCCAGTTCCCGGCCTTTTCAGGCTCCTGCCATGAATTTCCCTCAGTGGTGGACTGTGGTGCAGAACTGTAAGCTAAGAGGCCCTCTCCATGTTGCTTTGGTCGCAGTGTTTGATCACAGCAATAGAAACCTAAGACATACCTGTCTGTCTCTACCCGACCCCAGCAGTGGGTCACAATGTTAGTATTCAGGCATCTGTCCTGGCCTGCCCTTGGGGTACTCACGGGATACACCCTCAGCTGCAGCCACTAAGAGCACCTCCTGTGCACATTCACTACCTTCCCTTTTAAAAGGGCCCTGCCCACCTCGCATCCATCCTCCCTCCCTGCCTCCCTCCCTGCCTCCCTCCCTCCCTCCCTCCTTTTTCTCCATGTCTGTTTTTCTCTCTTCCTCTGCCTCTCTTTCCTCTCTCCCACTGCTCTTGTCCCTAGAGGCCATTCTCTCCCTTCACCTTTCCCCTTTTTATGATACCTTTTCTTAATAAAAAACCCCTCCACTTGAACCCTGTGGCATGACATCTTTCTTGCTCCACTTTTTAAAAATTACAACAACAGACACATCTCCATACCTTGCTTTTTACATGGGTGCTAGAGGTCCAAACTCAAGACACCAAGCTTGTGTGGCAGGCACTTCACTGCCTGGGGCATCTTCCTAGCCCGAATCAACTGTTTGTCTTTACAAATTTGCTTATCCTGGGCTTTTCACATTCAGCAAACTCATTATTAAGGGTTCTATAAAGTCACTAAGAATAATGAATTAATAAATCCAGAGCCATGACCCCTGGAAAAATATATGTTCAGGTTACCACAAGACTCCAATCAGAACACTTTCAACAACCAGTCACTACATCACGTGACTTCTGTCTAAAGACAATGTTTGGTATTTACTAAGCCAGTGTCCAGGGGGCTTGAATGAAGGTTCTCTTACATGACATCTCCACGAGGCACACTACAACCTCCTTAGATACCACTTCAGCCCTCGGCCACTTTAAAGAGTGAAATCACCAACAAAAGACAAATAAGCAAAAGCGATAATGGCGTCATTGGACGCGTGTGAGAGATGGATGCTGGTAAGAGAAACACAGCATGAAGCGCTTTGCTGTGCTGCCTTCTCAGCCAAGAATGTACACAGCGAGTGGCTCAATGCGTCTCCACTCTGTGTGCATGTTCTCCAACGACCAGAAAACCACCGTTAATATTGACTTAGGGTTACAATAGCAGAAGCAGATAAGCTTTCAATTACAGAGCCCTTGAATAATGGGATCACAGTAAGTGGCCCTGGGTCCTGGCGTAGGTCCCTCAGCACACTGTTTGTGACCTTCACTGCCATGAGGTAATACTTAGCTCTCTCTTACGGCAGGTAATATTCGCTTGCATGGATCTGTTCACTGGAAGGTAGACTCTTGGGTTCTGTTAGTTCTTAGGCTGTTGTGAATGGTACTGTGCAAGTCTATGTGGATGTGTACCCACACACTTGGGTTCTGCAGGGAATTCTAGTTGAAAGGGATACTTGCCTGTCATCTTATTGTTATGTCCTCATGTGGCTTGAGGGCAGACATTACTGTAAGGGCCAGGACAGTTTTAAGCATAGTTGACGGTTTATTTCAACATTTATGAAGAATGCTTACTTTTCATTGGTGTGGTAATAGAGTTTCTCCCTAAAAATCTGTGTCAGTCAGTGCTGGGAAGTTGGCTGCCATTTAGGAGCAAGTGCTGCTCTTGTAGAGGGTTAGGCCTTGGTTACAAGCACCCACATCAGAGAGCTTACAACCACCTGTACCTCCAACTCCAGGGGACCCCACACCTTCTGGCTTCCATGGGCACTGCACTCACACGCATCAACCAACTTTAAAAAAGTCTGTGTCAATATGGGAACCACCTGGGACTCACTGAACCCATTGGCCTCTCTAGGCCAATGTCATGGAAAGAAAATGGACTATGAGTGTTGACCCCTGGTAGTCTTCAGCCACATGGACACAAGATCTGCATGGTTATGTACCAGCAAGGCTATCCTGCAGACAAATGTGCCCAGATGTCCACAGATGTACAGATGCATAGATCTGCCTCTCTGGCACAGTTACTCCAGTCAGAACTCCATGAGGAGGGTGAAGAGAAGGTTCTGAGTTATCCAGAGGTATAAAGAGGGGCCAGGATAGTGCACATGGGCCCAGCAAAGAGTTCGTAGATATGGGAACCCAACAATAATCAGGAACTTTCCCACCTTGGAAAGGATACAGGACCCCACAAGAAGGATCCGAGCTTATATAATACGAAAAAGCCAGCTTTGCAATGCCATACAGCTATTCAGGGCAGAGGAAAAATAAGAGCAAGGAAAAATAAATAACCTTGGGAGGGCGCTGGGCCTCAGACTGCATGCTGAAGGAGGGAAAGCCACTCCAGCTGTGGGGAGGTTGGTGCAGTCCCACCCGCAGCATGCCGACCTGAGCTCCCAGTCTGACTCCAGGTTCAGCCGCTCCATGGTGGGGGGCATACCTCACTCAAGCTGGACCTTCACCCCTTTACCTGCCCCTTGGGAGCAAGGCCATGAGCTGGGGTCACTGTGGCACAGCCAGGAACCAGCACCAGGGGCCTTGTAGTCTGGTGGAGATGAACCACAAGCCACCCTAAAAACCTGTAATGGGTGACATCAAGAGAAAAGAAGAAGAGGACAGGCAGGCAGAGGAAAACATGAGCTAATTAGAACTGACACTGAGAAAGAAGGCAGAGAGTGCCAGTGGATGGATTTTCCAGTGGTGTGATGGGCAGAGTTCTAGGATGGGGTAGGAAGATGCAGGAGTGTACATCAGGACCAGCTATGGCTACTGCAGACGACAGAGGAGGGACAAGAGGGACACTCTGGGCTACAAAGAGCTACAGGGAGCACAAGAGTCTTGATTTCCTATGTCTCCGAATCACTCTGAGAAGGGGCAGCTCTACTGGTCTCTTGCGTCATCAGCAACATGCAGGTTCTACGATAATACAGACGCCAACATGTTCTGGTTTTGTGCCAGAGAACTGGACTGAAGTGAGGTCAGGAGTTTCCTACCGTCTGCCATCAGCACGAGTAAGAATAATAAAGATCAATATTTACAGGCCACAGACTGCTGTCTTTCGACGTTTTACTTCACTGTAACTGGATGAGTGGTGCCACTGTCACTCATATTTTGCAAACAAAGACACTAAGAAGGCCTGGCTAACAATTGTGAGCCCCACGGCCAGCATCACACCCTGGCTCTTCCATCTCCTCACTCAGCACACCACAGTGGCTGTCTCTGGCTCTTTCCATGACGCCCAGAAAGGATGGTGGGGCCCACGAGAAGGATCTGAGCTCACATGACGGACGTGCTCACACAGTGGCCATGCTGCCACTCAGGGAAGAGGAAGAAGGGAGCATGAAATAATACTGAAAGGGTGGAGGGAAAAGACACCCAAGGTGCAGCCGTTCACAGCAGGCATGGCTTGGGGCTGCCTGGCGCTGCAGGGTCTCCACTGGCTCCTCAGTCTGCCCTTCTCCCGGCCAGTGCTCGCAATGCTCAAGGTAGGTTTGCCCCAGGAAGAAGGATAATAGTTAATAAATCGACTATAAAAAGCCCTCGTTCTACTTCTAAGCACCCCCTGCAGCTGGCTCTTTCCATTAACCTAATATTTTTAAGTGACAAGGCTCTGCCAAGCTTAGATGTGAGAAAACGAAATCTGAGGTGCACTTCTGAGGGGCAAACAGGATGAGTTCCCAGCTGCCTGGCCAGCCTGTCACCAACCTGCCTGTGCCAGTAACTTATTTCAATACAAAATGGTGTTTGCTTACAAATGCTGGGATTTTAGAGGTTAGAGTTACCCAAAGTTACAATTTAAAGCCAATATTTTCCCTAGTTTCACAGAGATGTGAAAAGTACATACCAAGTATGGTCCTCTAGTGTAATTCTTAAGATGCTGACAAACGCCCCTTTGTTACTGAATTCACTTGCTTCTAGTTAAAATGCTAAAAATATCGGCATTATTTACTCTTCACAAAAGACTCAAAGTATTTGTACTATTTTTCTTACATCTTTAAAAGGCAGAGGTCAATGCTATTTAAGGCGGAAAAGGCAATTTAGCTACTTTTAAGACCTTTAAGCAATTAGTATTGATCTGAAAATTAACTTTAAAGTCCTCTACTACAGGCCAAAAACCGAATCTTTGTGTCCCATACCAAGAGAGGGCAAAGTGTCCTACTTCTGCCCTAAGTGACTGCTGGGTGAGCAGGGCGGTGCAGTTGCCTCATACCTCGCTTCTGGATGAAGACCCTAAGCAAGGGGTTTGCACTTGAGACGGCCTTGCAGAAGTTGTCATCATTGTTGATGGGCAGCAGGTCCCCATGTACGTCAGCATAGCCGATGGTCACCTCGGTGTTAGAGATGTGGTGGGTGTGCACGACCAGCTGGTAGAAGTCTTCAAACTTCCCAGGCTTATGACGGTCCAAGGAGAACCTTCGGAATTCGGCCCCAAACTACAAGGCAAGAGAGGAGGTAAGTGAACACTGGGAAGAATCCGTGAGAAGGAGGTACAGTGTGTTCATGGAACCCTGTAGTAACTAAGCCCCCATGAGCCACGAGCTGCCCCATGCTACTGTCTTGTGACTGAGCAAGTCAAATCCTATTTAAAATATATAAAGTATGTTTTTAATTTTGGTTTTAAAGTAGTAGGTTTTCAGGTAGCCTTTAGAAAAAAATCCCCTTTATTTTGATTAATCCTCTCCAAGTTTCCTACCCCTCCCTGCTTAAACCTTTCCACTCACAGAATTTACGGTAAGTGGCGGCACCACAAATGCTAATGCCCAGGGCCAACTGCTTTTCTCCAGCCCCAACCTGGTTGCCCATGGAGCTGCACACAGAGCTTATGCTCACAGCAGAGGACCCCATCCCACAGCATACTGGACACCTCTTGAAGGTGGCAAGGAAATGGCCATCGTCAATCTGGCCTGAGGGTCTTGGCTTAGCATAGTCTTCAGTATAATTAAGAGGTAAATGAGTGGGCTCTAACATACACAGAGATTAAATGTTTAATGTTACACATGAATAGCCACTATATCATCTGGGTGTCATACTGGACAAATCATTTCAAGTTCCTAAGGTTTGGGTCAAAAATCATCTACAAAGTTCTCAGATTTGGGGATGTAGCCCGGGAATTTGTGTTTTTAACAGGTCCTCAGAAGTAACTAATGTTAGTGTCTGGGACTTACACTCCGAGGAGCAGTGGTTTAAGGGAATCAATGTCCAGAGGTTCGTGTGAAGACCCACTTGTCCAGGTAGTAATTGCTGTCCCCACTTCTTACAGGTTCCCCAGAGCAAATTTAACCTCTTACCTACCTACACTGTCCAGGATACCTAACAAAGGAACAATTCAAAATGCTGGCTTGGGGAAAGCTACATCCAGTGACTAGTCAGAAGTCTACCGTCTCCTCCCCCACACTCAGTAAGGGGAGAAGCATGGCCCCCCCACTCAGTAAGGGGAGAAGCATGGCCCCCACACTCAGTAAGGGGAGAAGCATGGCCCCCACACTCAGTAAGGGAGAAGCATGGCCCCCACACTCAGTAAGGAGAAGCATGGCCCCCCACTCAGTAAGGAGAAGCATGGCCCCCTCACTCAGTAAGGAGAAGCATGGCCCCCCCCACTCAGTAAGGAGAAGCATGGCCCCCCACTCAGTAAGGAGAAGCATGGCCTCCACACTCAGTAAGGAGAAGCATGGCCTCCACACTCAGTAAGGGGAGAACTATGTCCCCCACACACTCAGTAAGGAGAAGCATGGCCCCCCCACTCAGTAAGGAGAAGCATGGCCTCCACACTCAGTAAGGAGAAGCATGGCCTCCACACTCAGTAAGGAGAAGCATGGCCTCCACACTCAGTAAGGGGAGAACTATGTCCCCCACACACTCAGTAGGGGAAAAAGTATACCCTTTACACTCAGTAAGGGGAGAAGCATGGCCCCCTACTCAGTTAGGGGAGAAGCATGGCCCCCCCACTCAGTTAGGGGAGACGCATGGCCCCCCACTCAGTTAGGGGAGAAGCATGGCCCCCCACTCAGTAAGGAGAAGCATGGCCCCCACACTCAGTAAGGAGAAGCATGGCTCCCACACTCAGTTAGGGGAGACGCATGGCCCCCCACTCAGTTAGGGGAGAAGCATGGCCCCCACTCAGTTAGGGAGAACGTATGTCCCCCACACTCAGTTAGGGGAGAAGCATGGCCCCCCACTCAGTAAGGAGAAGCATGGCCCCCACACTCAGTTAGGGGAGAAGCATGGCTCCCACACTCAGTAGGGAGAAGCATGGCCCCCACACTCAGTTAGGGAGAAGCATGGCTCCCACACTCAGTAAGGAGAAGCATGGCCTCCACACTCAGTTAGGGGAGAAGCATGGCCCCACACTCAGTAAGGGGAGAACTATGTCCCCCACGCACTCAGTAGGGGAAAAGTATACCCTTTACATTCAGTAAGGGGAGAACTATGGCCCCCACACTCAGTAAGGGGGAAGGAGTATGGCCCCTAAATTCAGGTTTGACTAGTCACATTTATGAACGGCTAATGCCCTGGAGAGAGCAGAGGAAAGGGCTCTCTCCTGTCTCCACTGGTGTCAGAGGTGCAGATTAGACTTTCACCCCGCTCCCATTACTCAGGAAAACACATCATTTCTTCTCGGCACTTTACAAAGGGTGCCCCAGCAACAGACGGCCTGAGAGGAACATGCTGGTCTTCACCCACTGGGGAGGAAAAACTGTAAGATACAGTTTTAAAGAGATAAAGCCTACAACCCATGTTCTGTATGGCTTTTTTCCCATTTACTCATCCAATCAAATCATAACATATTTATTTGGGCAGTCTCCATGTTTCTCATCTGTGTAGTTGCCTTCTGCTGAGTCCGTGAGCACATGCCCCTTTCTTCCTGATGAAGACACAGAGAGCTGTAACGATGAGTAATGTAACCCCAGGAGCAGTTTGCTCATGTCCAGGCCTTGTTTGGGTATCCTCAGCAGGATGCATGACTGCACACTCACCTGAGGAACACCCTTGTAGGTGTGCTTACAGCCCTCCACTGCAGAGTCAGCACCCACACTAAATACCCAAGCTAATCAACATGCAGCTCAAAGTGTTTCTCAGTATTAAACACTTTTCCTAAAATGTGTACCTTCCTATGGTAATTTGGAAAGACAAAAGAATCCAGACTTTTCTTAAGGTTAAAAAGTCTGGTTTGTGCCTGACCATGTGAGGTTTGCCACTTACAGAGCCTGTTATGTGTGTTTAATAAGGTCCAGAGTTCCAACAGAGGTGTGAAAACGTGATGTAATAAACTCGTTTTATCTAAAAATTTAAAATTCTTATTCTCCACTTAACTTGAGGTTAAACAAGCGGGCTCCAAATGAAGGAATTAATAGTTGCAACTCAATGCCATAGAATTCTTGGTAAAGCCAAGGTCTTCTACCTTCTGGAAACTGGATGTGTGGCTCTGGTGACTAGATGATGAGTCTTGGACGTCAAGTGTTTTTCCTCTGTCTACTTTGAGCAAACTCAGAAGCTGCTCATACTGAACTTGCAGCAGACAGTCATCTAAATGATGCTGATGGTTGACTTACTCTTGGCACGTGGAGCAGGGAACGGCCCAAGAGCCCTTCTTCACTCCCCTGCTCACCTGGGAGCCCCACCCTCGCTGGCTTTACTCTCTCTTACACGGCATTTGATTGGTTTATGTGACAAAGCTCGTGCTGGTGTTGACATGCATAACCGTAAAAAACAAAAACAAAAACAAAAACAACCCAAAAAACCCCCAGACACTTCCTGTCACCGAGCAATAGATACCTTTCACTGAATGCAGGATGTCTAAGGTACTTATTCTGAACGACCACAGTTATTTATCAATATTGGTATCAGCATCAACAATTGACCATAATTTAATAAACACTGTCACAACTCAATCTAAAACCTTTAAAGGGTAAATTCTCTAATTCACATTAGCCATTTTTATTTAAATATTTCTAATTCTTTTGTAATTTCATGCTTATATATAACTTTTATTTGATCACACCCAGCCTAAGTCTTCACTCCCACACCCTTCCCTTCCTGTCCTCCTCCTCTGGAAGCATTGCCGCACGCACATACACGTGATTATACGCCTGCGCAGACAGCTCATCAGCAGCCACTCTCTTGACATGTGCCACGTTGTTTGCTTGTTTTTCAGATAGGGTCTTCCTATGTAGTCCAGTTTGGACTCAGTTCTTATTTTCCTGCCTTGGCCTGGTAAGAGGTAATTACAGAAGTATGACAATGCCACGGCTGCCTCATTTTAGTCGTTTTACACAATTCAGGGTGATAATTACACTGCATCTAAAATGTGCCTACATACCCCCTCTCACAATGCTGTGTGTGTGTGTGTGTGTGTCACCTAAGCTGGTCTTGAACTCATGGACTTAAATTTTCCTAACTCAGCCTCCTGAGTGATAGCGTTACAAGTGTGAACCCAGTGTCCCTATCTCTGGAGCTCTTCCCACTTTGCAAGCCGAAAATACCATTGAACAACAATTTAGGAGTAATTTTAACAGATTTATAACCATATGAAAAAAATTCAACTTTAACTTATGTAAACTTCTTATTATACAGAAGAATGACAGACAATCAAGCATAAGTTAGTAGGACAGAAGAATAGAAGAAAAATTATTTGGATAGTAATAGATGAAAAAATTCCAGAGAAAAGGGATTATGTAAACTTTCTGACCATTAAAAACGATTGTTTATCCTATTTTAAAATGTGTAATGGGAATACGAAACCAGATTTCACTGGCTAGATTCGGCTGGGTGTGGTGACACGCACACAGGCAGGTGAGCACTCGCACCCCCCCCAGCCTCCCACAGCAGCTTTGCTGGGCCTAGCTAGGCCAGGAGACAAGTTAGTGAATAACATATCAAAGGCCCCCTTTCCCACCAGCATAGAGCACTAAACTGAGGCAGTATGCTTTTTCCCTGGAGGAATTAATTCTAGACACAGGGGAGGACACATACACGAGCTGAGGAAGGGCACCTTTCCTGAAACAGACTTAGGAAAGAAAGGAGCAAGTAGCCAGAGCAATCTCCCAGCAGCCATGGGTCTTTCGCGTCCTGAGCCATCAACACATGATGGATGGGACCAACTGCTTACACTAACACAGATTACTACCTTTTAGAGAGTGCGAGGGAATCTGTCTATTATTATGAAAACTGGCAAATAAAGAGCAAGAATCAAGTGCTTTTTAAAGGAAGAATACTTGTCACTGGGAAACTCACATGTGTGTGACTCCTTAGTATCCACAACATTAAGCAAAATAAACTGTCATTCCATTATTTGGACAACACTAACACACTCTGTAGGTAATCTTGGTCTTTATCTCTGCAGCAAGATAGCAAACACTGAGGGAAGTGGACAGGTTTAGCTTTTAAAGCTCAAAAGAGAATGAATCTCAATACAAGATTCTTAGACCAGTAAGTGAAAGTACATTATCCTCAGCTGGGCACGGTGGCTCATGCCTGTGATCCTAGTACACAGGAGATTGAGGTAGGAGGATCACCACAAGTTCCAGGACATCCTGGGCTACATAAAAAGACACTGTCTCAAAAAAAGTATTTACATAAAAATGGAATTTATTTTCATTCCCTTTAATGTATACTCAACAATAACAACATCTTTATGATTATGCAGTTAGAAAAAAGATACACATTATTTGAGATTATATATATATATATATATATATACACATATATCTTTTATCTTTCCCATCTTATCTCTCCTCCCTTCCCCCATCTCTTGAAATGGAGATCTTCCAGTTCAGTGAGAGGTCCTACCTCAAGGCAATAAGCCAGAGAGTGATAAAGGAAGACATCCTCCTGCCCCAGCCTCTAGATGTATGCTCCCCCCTCAACCATGTACACATACCAACATACCACACACAGACAGAAAGAATTATAAGAGAAATTCAAATACACATAGACATTGATGAAAATATACCAAAACCATACAGACTAAAGCAGCACAAACAGGGAAATATATGAGTATAAAAACCTAAAAGGAAAGTCATTATTAGAAACTAAGAAAAAGTACAAACCTAATCCAAACAAGCAGAATGGACTGGAGATTAGAAAAAAAATAGGGAAAGAAACAAAGAAAAAAGTCGAGTCTTTGACAAGACCAACAAAATCAGCACATCTTTAGGTAGGATGAAAAAAAGAAGCAATTCAAATGATCCAAATCACAAATGGAAGGGAGGACAATGCTGTCGATGCTTATGGACAAGGGATTGTGAGTATCCATTAGCAATGGCCACTGTGATAAGGAGCCTGGATCCCTGCAAGAGATATCTGATTCTAGGATATGGCTCAGGAAACATGTGAGATGAGCCTGGCCATTTCAGAACAGCAGAAAGCCAGGAAGCAAAACAAACCCCACAAACATGGAGCATGTTGAAGGAGACAGGAACCAACTGGGCAACATGCCAGGGGCCAAAGCTGGAACAATTTGAGCAACAAAACAAAATAGCACAAAATAAACATCCACGAGTCCACACAGATACAAACAAATGCCAGAATAAATAGTTGGGTAGACACAGCTTCCATGCAGAAGAATACTAAATAATTTATCTGGATACATCACCCTCAGGAAGGGGCCGCGTGGTTCCCCACCTTCTAAAGATAGGCTCTACGTAAGGAATTTGCTCTGTGGAAAGGGAGAAGAAGGACCCCACAGTGGGGTATCTGGACACACTTCCCTGCTTAGGGATCAAGATCATCAGCAATGGTAAGCCAGCGTGGCCAGTGTGGATGCCTGTATGATGGGTAGAAACGGTACACAGCCATTGTTGTTTTCCCTTTCAGAGTCACAATCCTAGTCTAATGATGAGAAGCACAACAAAGAACAGATCGCCATCAAGGGACGGCCTGTAAAACACTGACCAGTAGTCTCAAAAACAAAGAGGTCATCAAAACACGAGGAGAGTGAGGAGTAACCACAATGAAAAGGGATGCAGGAGACATCACAGCTAAGCAGAATGAGTTCTCCTGCGTCTTGGAACATTAGGTTAGAAAGAACACTCAGGAAAAACTAAATCCAAATAAAGTATAGCCTCAGCTAATTATGGTCTATCAGCATCGGCTCATTCATTACAAAAATGCCCCGAACTGAGAAAACAATCATGGTATGTATGGGAATCCTCCGTATCTTAACGGCAATCTTTCTGTAAATTTAAAACTGTCCTAAAATGATTTAAAACATTTTTGTATCAGTCTACAAAGTAGCAGGTCTCTCTGTGACATTTTCATCTCTACTGGGTTTTGGCTTATCTGCTCTTGTTCTTCACACAGTGCCCCCTCCCCCCTCCCGCACCCCTCTGCTCTTCGTGCTCACCTTTTCATTTTCATGCTATGCGTGTTGTTACTGTCCCCACACCCATACTTACACCTCGTCCCCCATCCTGTCTCATGGGCCCTTTTCTAAGGTTTTATGGATGGAACCGTAAATATCATATTAACTCACTGGCTCAGAAGGAAAAAAAACCCATGCTTTCTCTCATATGCAGACCTTAGCTTCTAATTTTTAGATGTGTGTAATTATGTGGGTGTGAATGTAGGTATAGTTAATCAATCTAAAGTAAAATTTTAAGAAAAGATTATATACAAATCCTGCGAGTGACCATATGATGAATACTGGATATCCTAGATGCTATAGACAGATTCCAAGGATGATACAAACTGTGAGGACTTACTAAAAAGCAAAGAGAAACTCTGAGTAACTTATTGAATTACTTGAATTAAATTAATTTCTCAATGCCCACTGAGACGACTCCAGGTCTAGATGCCTTCACTCAGGAATTCTACCAAATGTTCACGAAATTTATAGCAATCATTCACAAACTCTTCAAAACATATGAGGGAATACATCTTACCTTTTCCTATAAGGCCAATTTTGTTCTGATACCAACACCAAAAAAAAAAAAAAGGCATAAAAAATCTACAGATCCAAATCCAACATGAAGAGGACAAAAAATCATTAGAAATGTCATCAATCTATAATCATTAATATAAAAAAGAAACTACACAACCAGAACCAGCTAAGTGAACTACAGGTGTTCACATCTGAAAATAAATTATTGTAATAAACAACATTAAAGGCCAAAAGCAACACAATCATCACATCATGAAAGACAGTAAAATAGAACTCAACTAACTAGGACAACCCCAGCTAATGCTGCACTTAACAGTTTAAGGCAGACTAGTTTGCTCCAGAATTAAGAAGAAGTCAAGAATGTTCACTTTCACATTTGAAAACATGCGAGTAAGAAAAGGAAAAGGATGTTCTAATATTTCTATTCATAGACAGAATTTATCTAAAATTTCCTAGAGCCGATGAATGAGTTCAGTGCAGTTTAAGGACACAGTATCACTACACAAAACAAATTTTATTGTTATACCTTAGCAATGAACAATCATTCTGGAAATAAAGTTTAAAAACAAATAACAATTCTATTAATAACATATTGAAGAGATACAACGTTTAGGAATAAAGTAAACAAGAGACATGAAAACTACTGAATGTTGTTGAAAAATTAAATAAGTTACAAATGGATGAAGGCATTCCATGTTCATGAATTACAGAACTCGATGTCTGTAAATGCTCCCTCTACAGGTTCATAGCAACCCCTATCAAAATCACTGCCTTTGGGATGGTAACTGCCAAGCTGGTCCTAAAAGTATTTGGAAATGTGAAAGACACAAAATGTGGAAAAGAATCAATCTTGAAAAGAAGAACTGGAGGATTCACACTGTACTGATACACTGTAATAATTAATCGTGTCAACTGTATTGAATTGGGAAGACCGGCCTTGCGTGAGTGCTACCATCCTATGAGGCAGTAAAGAGTTCAGCAGAATAGGCATGTACTCCCTCTGGTTTCTGGCCATTTGATATGAACTGCTCTGCCCTGTCATGGCCTCTGTACTCATGATGGACTGAAGTAGTAACTAGAGTAAATCTTGCCCTCTTTTAGCTGCTCATGCAGGTATTTTGTCACAGTAACCTGAAGTCTGACTAGTACATATATGATTAATGGAATAGAATCAAGGCACATACATGGAATAAAATACCTGACTTGTGACCAATTGATTTCTGTTAAGAATGTCAAGACAATCCTAAGCAAGAGGAAATAATTTTTTCAACATAGTGTTGGGACAACTGCACATCCATGTGAGAACACTGAAGGTGGACACAAAAATTGGTTCAGATTGAATCAGGGGGTAAACACAATAGCTAGGTATTTTAAAAACTCTTAGAATACATAGAATTAAATTTTTATTACTTGGGTTAGGCAATTATTACTTAGATATGACACCCATGGCATAAACAACAAAAGAAAAAATAGACCAACTGGATTTCATTACAATTTAAATCTTTGGTGCATCAAAAGATACTCTCAAGAAAGTGGAAAGGTTATCTACAGAATGGGAAAAAACATTTGCAATTTAAACACCTGATTATGAAATTACATCAAGAGTATAAAAGAACTTTAAAAACTCAACAACGGGCTTCCAGGCATGGTGACACATGCATGCAGTGGGGCAATGCATGGCAGACAGACCTCTGTGACTTTTGAAACCAGCCTGGTCTACATAGAGAGCTTCAGGCCAAGGCTACATAGAAAGGCCCTATCTCAAACAAAACAAAACAACGTAACTCAACAACAGAAAGACATCCATCCAAACAACAAGAAATGGTCAACAAACTGGAATAGACATTTCTTCAAAGGAGATCTACAGATGGCCAGTTAACACAGGAACAGATGGTGCACAGCATTGCTAGTCACTGGGGAAATGTGGACCAAAAGCACAGGGAAGCTCTCCCAAGCCCAGGAGTCCTCTGGCATGCACACTGCCTTCCTTTCTTGAGCGTCTCTCTTAACTGCCTGCACTTAAATCTAAGCATGCGCCATTTACTAATAAGCTCCAACCTTGAAAAAGACTGTAACAAGTCACTCCTATGGTTTAGATGGTGGCTGTCCCCCAAAGGCCCACATGAACTTGGAAGGAGGTGGGGTCTGGCAAGGGAGCCTTAGCTCACTGGGGCACCCCCTTAGGAGAGACTCTAGGCCCCTAGATGCTTGTTTTCACTTTCTGGTTCATGAGGTGAGTGTTTACACTGCCATATGCTCCTGTCATGTCTCACTATAGGCTCAGAACATGATTTTGGGTCAGAACTTCCAGTATAACAAACCAAAGTAAATCTTTTTCTTTATAAATGATTTGCCTCAAACATTTGATGATAGTAATGGAAATCTAACTCCATATGTTACCATTTCACAACTACGTAGATGACTCTAATAATTAATAATGAATAAAGGTAAAGCATACTAGTGTGAATGTGGAGGAATATGAGGCCTTGTACATTTTTGATAGGATCCCAATGGTTGGCAAACAGTTTGGCTGTTCCACAAAGGGTTAAACAGAGTTGCTCCTTGAATCACACCATTTCCCTCCTAGGTGTATATGCTCGAAGAGACCAGTACACATGCCTGTGCAAAAAAAAATTTTTGTATACAAATGTTTATAACAACACAGTTTTGAAAACGAAAATAACACGTGTCTATCAAGTGACCGACAGGGGCATACAATGTATGTTATATGCCAGAGAACTTTGAAATTATTATTCTGAGAGGGGAAAAAAGACATGAAGGTCATTTATTGTATATTCTACTTTCATGTTATGGCCAGAATAGGCAAGTCAGTAGAGACAGAAAGTGTAATATGGGAATGGTTCTATGGGCTGAAGGGAAGAAAGAGTTAGGAGGTATGGTCATAGGGTTTTTCTGTCTGGGTGAAGAGTGTTCTAAAATTAGATAGTGGTAATGACTGTACAGCTCTAAGACTATTAAAAACCACTGAATTTTACAATTTATAGGTGTGAACTTCATATTAATTACAGTGTCTACAGCTGTTATTTCAAAGAGCTCACCTTAAAGATTATGTTCCAGATTAGAAAGGCTCGCTGGAAGCTGTGATTAGAAGCATGGGATCTGTAGGGAGGCACTGGACAGGTGCTGTACATGGAGGCCCTGGTTCTTTTCCAGTAAACAGGAAACCCCAGGAGACTGGGGTCTAGACCTTGTCAGCACACAATCAAGAAAACATGCACAGTTACGATGTCAGGGAAGGCCAGGCCCTATGGCTGCTAGGCCTATGGAAAGAGGTATGGGCTGTGAGGCTTAGGCCAGTTCAGCTGGCAAGGCCAGCTTTTCCAGTTTGAATGGGTCCTAGGGTGTTGAATAGAAAGGAGGTCGGAGGACAGGTGCTCCTAACAGGGTGGAACTTGCCTTTTCCCTCACACTTCTGTCTCCACCCTGACCCCAAACTGCACAAGCTCCTCTGGTCTTCTCTCATTTAGAAACGAATGTGTATAATGGTGTTCCTGGAGACAGAGGGCTCTGGTCATCTAAGTCTATTTTCATTACTCGAATACATCCCGGGGGTAAATAATCATCATTGCCAATGCAATTCCTTACTTTCCACGTGAAAAGACATTATTGTGATTTGATTTTTCTTGACTTATCATACAGTTACACACACCTAATTTAGAGCATGGATGGCTCTAGAGTCATCTACATGTGGGTGTCTTAGCATTGATCAGCAGAGTTGGACCCACTGCAATGTGTTCTTCAAGTTTGCTCAGCTATCTTTATGGCCTGAATTAAACTGTAAGCTTCTCACCTCTCAGAAGGCTACCTTACAAGTCCCTCTGCCAAAGGCTCAGACAGCATGAGAGACTTGCCCAAGGCTACAAAGTGATTGACTCCAGGCTGGGTGGAAATGGAATTATTAATTCTTGACTCTTTATTCTGAAGCATAGACTGTGGCCACTAGTAACAACAGCCCACACATTTCTCTTATTAAAGAAAACATAGGTTTAGAAAACTATCCAAAAGTGGCCCCCTAAGGTTCATGAGTTAAAGGCTTGGTTGCCAATAGATGCTTTTTGGGTTTTTTTGTTGTTTTGTTTTTTAAGCTGACTGGTCATGAAGGCCTGTTTAGGGTGAACAGTTCATCAAGACCGTCCCTCTATAGGGTTTATCTTGTCCTGTGTGTCTCCTCTTTCTGT